CGGCAGCGTCAACACCCTCCTGGCCTCCTCCACTAGCCTCAGGAATGGCTGCAACCAGGGCTGAAGACACAAAACAAAAGGAAACACCCAAGAAAGCCATGCAGTCATGCAACACCACAAACGTATCGACAAGCTAAGTCTTACTTGGTTTAAATGTGGTCATGCGTGGAATACGTGACCTTATAGTTGCATAACCATCCTTAACTTTGTTTACGGTAGATTCATGCACAAACGGTTTAGGAGTTAGATTGGTCATTTCAATTTCTTCAATTTCCGATTTAGTTTTGATTTGACGTGGTTTGGGACAGTACTGTTAAAAGTTGAAAAGATCAAAAGAAAGGCAACATGCAAGGAACGTGTTTTAAAAACGGAAAAGGTATTAAGAAGAAGATTAGGAAGTACCTTCTTCCTCAGGCAATGAGCCAGCCACCCAAACACCAGTCCAAAAACCGTCAGACTAAGGCCGCTGATAAGCCCAACAGCCCATTTGGAGAGCACTTCCGTTGAAAACTCAGCACCCAAAACAGCTTTCCCCTCCACAAAGGTCAGAGTAACATTTGCACGTTCCCCCGTAAAAAGAGTCGTCTCCGGAATATCCGAAAAGTTTTTCAATACGGATATCAGGATAGATGGCTTGTTGGCTATGAGATCACAAACAAAGAAATTTAGTTTTCAATTTTTTAGCGTTTTTTGGTAATCCCTTACCAGGGACAGTCGTAGTTTCTGTTTTCACTACAGACGTTGACGGAAAAGCAGCAGCAGTCACCGTCAGAGTAATCGACTCCGCCGTAGGAAGCGGCGTCGAAACAGACAAGTCGGGTTGCGACACAGATGTCGCCGCTGTAGGCGTCACCACCGTCGCAGCAACGGTCGACAGCGTCGTCGTTGGAATCATCAATGTCGTCAAGACGACCGAAGTGACCTCCGTCAAGACTGCTCCCGACACGTACCCAACGCACAGGTCCGCAGGATTGACAGCAGAGGCTATGAAAACCCCCTTGCATCGAGTCGGCTTCAGCAACTCAACGACCTGACAAACACAACCAAAAACTGGAGCAAAACCTTCGGGAGAACCTTTTTTCCAACGTACCTTGATGCCAAAAAAATCCAAACAACCGAAATCTAAGACAGGACCAGTTAACACTACCCTGCCATCGAAGTCGGACGCTCGAACCGCATCCGCATTGCACGCCTCCGTACAATGTAGGCGGCCATCTTGGACATGACAACGCCCAGCTGACGCATCGGGATGCACCACCAACACCAACAGCAAGATCGTGACCGCAAAACCCGCCATTCTTGAATAAAACTGTGATAATTTCAAAAGATGCACTTGGATCAGATCTGATCCTACTTTGTTAAGGGTTCTATGGGAATTCACCTTTTCATTGAGAATTCGCGAACCGAAGGGTGAAATCTGTCGAAACTCGCAGGAAATCTTCTTTTCACTACCTAGAACCGAACGAACAGTTTAGTTTTTTCATTTTCAATCGCGTTTCGCGTAAAAATCAATCGTTACGGGTATCTCGCGAACAAAATCCACAAACGACAAAACGCAAAATTCACCCCTATTTCCGACCAAAAACCGCCCGAAAACAATAGGAATGTGTTTTAAGAACACTTAAGAGTAAGATCAAGCGAAAAAACACGCGGAATGAGCGAATTTTAAACTTTACAGTTTTTAATTAAGGGCTTAAGGGGGTCAGGAGCACATACCTGAAAGGGGGTGTAAGGTGAACTGAGGAATCAGGCATTGGCATGCCAGACCTCTGCAGCTTCCTGGTGAACTTGAAGGAGTTGAGGGGAGGCAGATATGGTTATTATTACCATTCTTATTGCCCCCCATGAGAACGTTTTCCTGTGTANAATAAACATTTTGAATACTCTCACTGAGTAACTTTTGCGTTTCCTTTGAAAGTCGCGGAAAACGATTTAAATCTCTGATCCTCTTTTCCATTAATTATTAGAAAGCCGTACTCAACGACTGATCATCGTTGACCAACAACTTTCGTAAAATAGTTTTTGGATAACAAGTTATTGAAAAAGTTATGTGTTTTTTAAATTGCTGGTATAAATCGAAGAGTGCTTCAAGTCCGTTTTTACATCAGAATATATTTTTGATATGTAAATGGGTGTGTATATCAACGTGTTAAATTCTTACATCTTCAATGTTTCGATTATAAAATAAAAACAGGTTCGATTGTTCTGTAGATGAAAAAAAGCGACGCTCCGAAGGTCTCGCGGGAAGTACAGCATTGAGTATGAAAAGCTGAATCAAATTAATTATCAGGAAGTGAATAGAGACTATCGAGAATAGATAATAAGTACAGTACTGATTTATTGTGCTCGTAATTTGATACATGATTCAAAGACTGAAGAGACGGGACGTTTTGATTTGTAGGAACCGGAAAAATAGTCATTGACGAGGCATCGGGCGAGTTTTAGGGGCTCTAAAAAAGAGATTGGTGATTCAATTGGTTCAGAAAGGGTTCCTTCCTTCCATGTAATTCGATAACGTACAAAATATTCCGAGACAGCGAGTAAGAATATAATTTATACTTTCATGTCTTTTAAAAATCACTGCGATGCTAAAACGTGAAACCAATTCATTGTAGGCAAAAGGTGTGAAGATTTATTTCCGTGGTGCACTGCTGAAAACATTTCAATTGGGTTTTGAAGCATCTCCATACTTCTCCACAGTGTGCTGAATTATAATTGTTCCAGAAATAAATTCATTCATCTACATTTAGAAACAAGGCTTTTGAAGTCACTTTTTGCACCAAAAGCTTGTGCATCAGTGAGATAAGAATCTGGCATGAAGGTTTTCCAGATTCTTTTCACCAAAGAAACATTAGGTTTAGAAAAGTGAAAATATCTCAAGATCTGTTGATTTTTTTAATTTTTATATGATGCACGAAAAGTTGGAGAACATCTTTGGCTTCAATTTATGATGTTGTGAAATTTTGTAAGTGTAAAATTTGTGGAGTTATTTGCTTCAGAAGTTTGCGCGTTGGGAATTGTGCCATAGGCCAAGCATCTTTTCTTTGCTGATTTTATTTCTTTTTGAAAGTGAGTTTTTATTGCACAATGCCAGATTGTATTTGCTGACTGTGTGTGTGATTGTTGTCTTCATGAAACCTGTGATCAGGGACAATAATAAGAGTCCTCTTTCAACATCCAAGGAGTGAGGATGCTCCAGCTTCTCTTATTTTTCTGCAGCCATAATGTAGTTTTGTATACTTTTAAAATTAAATTCCCTTGGAGGCTGGGTACCTGCCTCAGCACTCAGATGTCTCTTGCATCTGAAATATTTTTAATGCAGCTTAAAATCTGCAATATATAATCATTTCATTTTTAAAAACGTGAATATAATCTCACCGGTCGCAGATGTGGCTCGAGATTGTTCTGGAAAAAGGATATGACAGCAGAGATTACGACCAAGTAGAGATCCAACGTCATCAGCTGGGACGAGAACAGCGGGTCGACATCAAAGGGGTCATCTGAGTTATGAACAAAGAAAACCGTCAATTTGTTCCGCATAACTATCGGTATCTTCAGATCAAGAGCCGCCTAAAAAGTTAAGCAACAATTCAAAATGAAACGCGTTTCCCAGTATTGCTTCCAAACTCTTTGATCAAGTGGGCACAGTACATACCAGGGGTCTTACAAAAGTTCAAGTATTTTTCCACTGCAGTAAGTTTTTCCAATGAAATGTTTCCAAATTTTCAACAACAAAAAGCATAAAATGCACACCTGTTTTTTAAATTTTTACATTTTTACACCCATCCATGACGCACACAAGCTTTTCTTCCTCTCAGTTTTGAGAAAAAAAAGTGCATGTGGTACCAAGTAAATACAGTACAGTACATTGGGAGACTTGGAGGAGGCAACCCTTGGTATTATTGCCAAATCATTTTTGAAAATTTAGAAGGGAAAACTGGGACACACGCATGAATCTGTGGGATGGGTACCACATCTTTCAAGTGAAGAGCATCCAGAGAGCCTCAAAAGTGATTTGAGCACACAAAAATCCCCAAAAATACTGTACGTCAAACAATAAAGGCTAAATTTCTTCCTTATGCCACATGATGTCCTTTTTTTAGCAATACTATTTTCCAGCTCAATTGTATGCCGTTTCAATCGCAATTCCCAGGACATTTGTTAGTCCCCTGATCTATTGCAGATGGCCCTTTAAAATGATGATGAGCAGACATCCATCCTCATGTACAGATAGTCAATGATGTGAGTTCAAAGAGCGTTTGGTACAAGTAGCGGAGAAGTTATTGCGGGCACTGGGAACGGCTCTCCAATTCGTTTGACTGCTCAGGCCAATGAACCACAAACCTCCAGATGGCGCCAATGAGTGCGTGTCAACGGTTTTCAAGACCCTCCAAACGAAGGCGCCAAGCGTGATGGTCGACAAACCCAGCACAGCGTTTGGTAGCATGAACCCCGAACTCTGTGGACCACGTGACAATCGATTCATCATCACATTCGCTTAGTGGATTTATACGAGTATGGAGCATAACATGTCCTTTTCATCCAGGACCTGTGTTTAAAACTACTGAAGGCGTGGCATGTTGCATTGAAAGGCGCGCTTTGCCTCTGTGCTGGTCAAAGCATGAGTATAAGGCAACATGAGGTATGAATGGGACTACCCTTGAATTTATCCCCATCTATTGGCTTAATATCCGTAGAAACTGTACCTGTTGGCCTGTAGATGTTCCAACTCTTTTAACCCTTGTGTCGCAATGTTGGGATATATTTGCACAATTTTGTTCCCATGAGCACGGAAAATTAAAAAAAAATTCTGAACCAAAGCCTATAACACAAGAAAAACTCAAATATTCATTTTTTATAATCCTGCAGAAAATGTTGCCTAAAATTAAAAAATATTCACTGAGCAACATTTTCCCCTATATTCCAAGGATAGGATAACCATTGAAGATTTCTCCAGACAATCTACCCAGCTTTTCCAAACTTAGCCCTTCTCAACTGGTGGGTTTCAGTGTTTTCTTCAGTTGAGCTGACATGTGCCTCCCTTGGAAAAATATTGAATCCACAAAGCGGACTGGATAGAAACACTCTGCATTCCAATGGTTGAGACAAGACTCATCAGCAAGTTCCTCCATCATTGAAGGTATTGCATCATGAATATTTGCTTTATGAACAGGTGGACTCTCTATAATAATCTCATTTACAACAATATTCTCTGCATAACAAATTTTTTTTCAACCCAATAGGGTTCTCCCATGTTTTAGAAGTTCTCTATGACAAAATTGTGATTTTCCAATTCTTCTGGACCCTTCCATTTTGTTGCAGATGGAGTCCACCTGCACCATATTTAACATCCGCAGTGGGAGGAACAACCCGTAGGATCCTACAGGGGTCGGGGGGGGGGGGGGGGAAAAAAAAGGACATCAACAGTGGGAGGAACAACCCGTAGGATCCTACAGGGGTCGGGGGGGGGGGGGGGAATAATAAGGACATCATGTGATGTGTCTCTGAGGCCTTTTGCACCTTGAATTAATTTGCCTACTTGAAAACTCATCAATTAACGTTAAGTTGTCAGGATGGCCAAGCGGTCTAAGGCGCTGCGTCAGACTGCGTCACAGTCTGGTTCTGCAGGTGTGGGTTTGAATCCCACTACTGCAATCATTTTTTCTTTTTTTTCATTTTTTTGTCTGCAGACGCTCTACTACTTGTTTATATACCAGTCAAATCTTTTTTCTGAAATTTTCAGGGATGTGCATGAAAGGTACATGTGTATAAAATTGTCAAATAGTTTCTGAAGTTCAGGAGTCTATTTAATTTAATTTGACTGGTAAATGTTGTACCAATTTCATCAGAAAAACTTTTCACAATTGAGATAATTGAAAATTTTGTCAGGAAATTATCACTAATTCTTGTTAAAATAGTCGCCTCAGACAGGCGCCAAGAAAAATTAGCATTAATCTTAGAAAACGCACTTTTTGTGAGCCTGAGAACCAAACACAGGTTTGGTTCCCAGGCTTGCCCAAGGACAGTTTCCTGATCTCCAAAGGAAGAAATGAAAGTGGCCAAATCTGGCCTTCATCCTCTAATCCCAAAAGTTGTAGTGATCAACCAAAAACCACAAATATGACACTCTGCGTTGAACTCTCAAATTGTACAGATCTCTGGAGAACTCTTGTGTGTATCAAATCATCAACCAATTCTGAAATCTGTATTTTCATTCTTTCATACTTGTGAAATTCTTCAGTTGTTCTGATCAATCTTGTTTTGAAAAATATACCAATTTACAATAGGATGATAAGTCCCAGCCACAGCCCGGCTGCTTGAATTGTATTTCATTTCTCTCAAACTATCTGAAACCAGTTACAAATTTTGTATACCTTTCACCTTTTGTGTGGTAAAAGAAAAATCCTCTGTTCATCTTTTCCTGCATTCATGTTCAAGTCATGCGTAAGTGAAAATTTGTGTTTTCTTATTTTTGAAATATTGCAGTTTTAGAGTCACTAAAATCAGGGAACATCTTACTTGGGAACTAGAAAAAAAAATGTTGAACAGTTTTGACTGAAAACCCGTAGAGCATGTCTTACTCAAGAATGCTTGGTACTCCAGTAAATACGGAGTATACGGACTACCGAGTAGAAAAATCTTGACTCCACTGCCCAGAAAAAAATTTTGAACAGTATTCTGATTTGCATATACAATATTGGGGTGAATAAATCTTTGCTAATCTTCGACATTCATTTGAAAACCATTGTATGAGATGACGTTAAGAAAGACAGTGTATTTCCCGAGTTCAAAAATCCCATTTACAGTATTACCGGTACTTAATTTTAAAAAATTGATCGTAAGTTGATGTCACAACGAGGCTGTTGACCTTGACGCCATATCGGGCCTCACACAGGACATTCCCAATTCCAATTTAAATCATGTACTGGAGGAAAAGATACTTTACTCTGCTTGTTCCGTGTTGTAGCAAACTCATTTCACTTTTTAAGTCACGCATAAACAGAATCCGATCGTATAGTGTAGTAGGAAATCTTTCAAGGAGTCTCTGGAAGCCTTTCGGTGTTGCCCGGGAGCATTTACATGCCTGGAACAACTTGTGTAGGCATTTTAGGGTGTGATTCATGGGAGATGGTTATCCTGAAAGTTGCTTTTTTCCTTTCAATTATTCAGCCGTTTCTCAGTTATTTCTTATAAGTGGTTGAGATCATTCGAAAAACGACTTCTTTATATATTCACTCATACCTTGAGTCACAGATACATATTTTCAAGACATATTTTTTTGAAGACCTCTGCAATACAACTGCTTCAGGCCGCCGATTGAATTACATTTTTGCTGATTTACCATCATTTATAAATAGTCTTCGAGAAAAGTATCTATTACAGCCAGTAAGCATACAATGAATATTCTCCATCTCTTTTCTTTGATAAGTTCTTCGGGTATTTTTGGAAATTGTGCAGAATGTCAACAACCGTAGCCCAAGACATTACACTTGCAGTTTATGCAATTCAAGTTTCCGATATTAGTCGCGCGGTTTGCACATACTGTACTACTAATGCCGGAAACTTAATCTTAATTGAGAACGAAATCTTTTAGACTCAAATCCAACTCAATTCGAGTCGAACTGCATGTGAACGACTCACTATATTTTTACCTATAACGCATGATATGGTTGGTTAGATATTTTAAAGAGCTGCCCATTGGAAATTTTCAATAATTTTTAAGGAGACACCTCGAACACAGATTCCTACTTTTATAGATAATTTATTAAATTTTTTTCAACAGGATTAGAAACAATTCACGAGAGAACACAAAAAATAAAACACATTAAAATAATATATAGTGTAAAAAATCAAAAGTTGTACACAATCTCAATGAAATGGAATTTATAATGACAACAGAGGGTGACTCTCTTATTCTAACCCTCTAAGTTGAGAATTTTCCCTGAAAATTAAGGAAAATTTGCAATTAACCTGTAACAAATTATCTCATGAGATAGTGTGTTACAGTTTAATTGCAATTTTTCCCTAATTTTTCAATTACCGATGGGCTTTTTAAATATCTAACCCAACCATCATGCGTTAGTCTGATGGTTGGGCTAGATATTCGATTGGATTTGAGTCTCAGTAAAGATTTTCCTTTATAGTTCGAAAATTATTGCTCTTCCATTCTTCAGTATATAGGGGTCAACCGTATTAAAATTATTGCAAATTAAAATGCTGGACTCACTGATGTGAATTCACACAAAAATTACAGATCAAAGTATTTTGTAAATTAGACGCAGGAAAAATGACAAAATTACAAATTATTTTCTGTGCCGTGAAAAATCCGATTCAGCGATTTAATGAGAATCATCAGACGCTCGTTAGTTGGGACAACAGCACCACTACCATTCCTTTGTAACAGAAAGATATTTTCCAAATCAGTAATACGTAAAACAGTTTTCAAACAAGTATAGGGGTTTGAACAAGCCGTACCAATTACACGAAAATCCCTCCACAATTAACATGGCCTTGGTCTTGTAGTGTTTGTCCGTTACATTTTTTTTTAACTTTCCGCGTAACGAACTTTCAAGGCGCCTACATTTATCCTTGTAAGAACTTTACATATTCTTTTATCTTCAGAAAAGAAACCTATTTTTTGATACTGTTCATTTGGTTGGAAAAAAATTGGAAAATTTCTCACCGCATGCATAAAAGCTGCCACAGCAGGGCCAACGAAGTACGCAGTACCAAGACTGACAGCCACGAGTACCTGCAGAGTGCGGACAGAAAAATGATACTGAAGCTCAAATTCCGGAATAAAAAAATTCATTTAGTGAAGGAATCCAAGACTGATTAGTTACAAAAAAAAGAGCATGCGCCCGAACGACATTTGAATCTACGAGTCAATTGAATTGAGTGTAACCTCACCATGGTTCCTTTTACGTCGTCCTGGAAATTTTCAGCGAGTATTCTCAACGCGCAAATCGCCACAAGTGCAAATCCGATGCTGGCAGCCAGTTGGAAAATAACGCTGAGGATGAGGAACCATGTGCCGCTGCCCAATTGATCAGTGGACCTCGAAATTTTAGTAAAATAAAGGAATTGAATCTCTGGATGTCAGCCTCAGATATGCTGATGACCTCATTCGAGAGTCATGAGTTTTACAGCACTCCAAATATTTTAAATATAAAGCGATCCCACGCGAAATATGAAGAGAGGGAGGAAAAAGGAAAGGGATGCGGGTGAAATTTTCAACTTTTGCAGCTCTCGAGAGCAGAACGATTTTGAGCTCATATATACGAGAGGGGTGTTCCTTAGACCCCTATTTTAGCCAATTACTTTTCTGCTGATGAGGATAGAATTAAAAGTCTGCTTCATCTGCCTCAAGTCTAGATTCGTTTCCTGAAGCTCAACTCCACAGGAACTGATTTAATTGGAAATTGAAGGACTGACAAAACCAAAAGTTCTTCGTTTTCACATACCATGTGGTCAGTTCATGTGACCAACTTACTCCCTGAGTTTAATAAAAAAAATTCAGCGTCCTTTTTTCAGAGGCAATCTTCTCAGAACTTGGAGAACAAGAAGATTATCTTTCTCTATTGCAATTTAAATCGAGTGTCATTGGGTTTATTAAAAACATCCATTTTACTGTATATTCATTTATTGTGTCTTATTCCATATGTTCTCTCAGGAATTCTTTCGAATACAAATAGAACAATGTTGAATGATTTATCTGAAGAACTAGAACTTGTGATAAATGTCTCCTTAAATGCATGCTTTTTATCACAAAAATCGTTGATCTCCCTGCGTTTTAATTGAAATACATGCATGTTCCATTCTTGTGCTTGGTTTTTGCATTCAGAACTACAAAGTAAAGGTAATTAATGAACAGTCAATGTCCAAAGCGCTGCGCATTATTTCAATTTTGGCATTAAAATAATTCCACATACATTTTAGGCTTTTCTGATGTTTAACCAAAATAATACTTTCTCTGATAGCAACCAATTACGGTAATTGTGAACGGCTTGGCCAAATTTAATACTTTGCCCGCATATATGACCAGTCCATGCCAAATTCGGAAATGTTTGTAAGAGTACCTGACAAAACCTGATACGTCTAATTTGTTTCCGGAAACTGGCAGAGAGAAAATTTTACAGAATTTTTAAATATTCACGTGTGGTACTATATTTTCATTTTTGCCATGCTTTTCCGGGTGCTGTCAGCAGGCACCCCACTAAATGATGATTCAACGAATATTATTATGCGAAAAACAAATTCATTCTATACGGAAATATCAGCTGTACGCCTTCTCGGTACAATTGATTGAATCCGAAAACGCCACTCTTCCATCATTAATCAAAATTGTACGATTGCGACGGTTCAGATAACAACGTCTGCTACAGCACCCCTCGAATAATAACGGTTGGTAGAAAAAAATAATAATTTAATTTCATCCAATCTCTGACGAGATTGTAACTCGAGGTTTACTTTTTTCACATACCCAAGGCAAATGGTCGCAATCCCTGTGATCCAGATTCCAGCGATCAGCATTCCTTTTTTCGAGGTACTCTGAACAAAAAGCTGTCGAGAAAAATGGCATGAAAGATTTTCGTCTGAAGACGAGAATCCAACTGGCCAAAACACGGTTGCCAACAATAGGTTCGTGAAAATGTGCATAGTTTAACCTCACCACTCACGAATTTTGTGAATCACTGCGAAGGCTCACATTTTATCAAGTTGAGCAGCTAGTACCCGAATAATAATATGAATATTTCGGCTGCAATCGTTAACGAATTCAAACAGCAAGGAAAAGAAAACTGAGGGGAGAAGTGTAGCGAAAATGTGTGATACTCACGCGTTTTGTCAATAATACCCCGACAATCGCTGACACAAGTCCTTTTGCACCAGAAAACAGCATGCTTGCGTAAACCCCGATTCCATAGGCATTTATCTGCAAAAATCGAAGAAGCCGAGGTTCAGATACGCCAATCACATAATGACTTAGTTGTAAGGAAAAGGTTGTTGGAAATTAGACCAAAATTTTGTACAGTATAATATTCTGATCTACCTTAACCCTTGGACGGCGAAGAGTTCTTTCCCATTGCCGGCCGAAATTGGATTATTCTTGTATGCTAAGGTGTTTTAATTTTTCTGAAGGTCAGAAAAGACCTTCCAGGTGGGCTGAGGCAAAGTCCAGATTAATCCCATGAAAAGCCCATTGCTTAGCATAGCATTTTTTTCTTTTTCCCACAAAATTTTTCTGTACAAAAAGAAAAAAATATCGGATTTTTCCCCAACTTTGTCCTCAAATCCCTGTTGTCCTTTTTTATTTTCTGCCCTGAGGTGCAACAAAATTTCGCGAAAATAGTTCAACTTTGCTGCCCAGGGTTAAAAATTGGCGAAAGAGTCCAAATTTCATGGGTATGAATGTTATGGCTCAATTTTGGTCCATTGCAGTTCTATATGCAGTCCGGAGCAGTGTTCCCCCATGTCCGGTCAGCCGCCAGTTGGTCAGACCATGGTCGCGCACCGGTCAGCCGTCAAACGTTCTTTGATCCAACTGGCATGCACCCTGGGCAGTCCTGGTCCTCCACAATCCCCAGCCCACCAAACCGTGGTCACCTGATTCTAGTCACTGGATTGTTGGGGTGCCCCAACAATCCGGTGACTAGAATCTCATTGATTCTGAAATCCTGGGTGAAGTGACTTTCCAGGCTTTGGTGAGCAGAATGGCTTCCTGCCACTGATTTTTTTTTCACAATTTTTTAAGCAATGTTAGGTTAGTTTAGTTTATGTTAGGTTACTTTTTAATGTTAGGTTAGGTTAGTTTAGGTTGGGAGGTTTTTTTTAAGATTTTTATGAGATGAAATTTTGAAAAAAAATCTCTGGAACCATTCTGCTCACCAAAGCCTGGAAAGTCACTGCAACCAAGATTTCAGAATCAATGAGATTCTAGTCACCCAAATGTGTGGGTGCCCTAAAAATTGGGTGACAGGACTGCAGTTTGGTGGGCTGGGGATTGGGGAGGTCAAGGACTGCCCTGGCTGGCAGTTGGACCAACAAGCATTTGCCAGCTGGCAGGTGCGCAACCATGGTTTGACCAACTGGCATCTGACCAGGTACCCTGTTCCCCAACCCAAGGTCCACAAACTGGTGCCAGTCTGCAGAAGATTTTTGCAAATCCTCAGGAAAATGTCATCAGCATGCTAAATTTATAGAAGGTAGTGAATAGGTGTGTTATTTGTCAGACTGTGTATTGGAGTTTTTCCATTCCCCAGGAAAAAGGAGCAACAATAAACCTTCTCTGACTAGGGGGTGGAAGGGCATCAAACTTTGGCCATGTTTCTCCCCTTTCCTTGGCAAAACCTTGAGTAGCTGCTTCCTGCAGCTGCTCCCAGCCATTGGCAAGGGAGAATTTCCATTTTCAGCACTTTGACTTCAGATGCCTCTCAAATAACACCTTCCCACAGAAAGGCCAAGGCTAGGAGTGTCATTTTGTGTGAATTGGCGTATTGTGAAACAAATTGTCAAAACTTGATATAAATAAAATAAATTTGTGTGTTGGCATATCATTGTGCTTCCCATCCTTGCCCAAAGTTTTGTTGAATTTGGTCTGCAACATTTGGAGAAATTCCACTTTCAGTTTGACTAACTTGTGAATTTTGTACAGTTTTTTGTCCAAAAGAATGTCCATAACTTTGCAAATGTGTGCTGTAGGTAACTCAAATTTTAAATCCACAAAGAAAATAATGTTAGCAAGCATGTGCATGAATTGTGGCAAAATCCCTTTAGTGGTTTTTGAATAAAAAATCCACAAAGTTGGAGTATGCATAATTCCTGATGTGAAAATGTGCTTGTGTTGATGTGTTTCTTTTATTCTGTTTCATTTTTGTGTGTGTATTAGAACAAAATTGTATGTGTGGTATTAAATCACCTGAGCATAAAACCCAAAATACAGTCAATCCTTGCGCAACGTTCCATTTGGTTAATGTTTTTTCACTTAACGTTCCCAGTTGTACGTGTCTGGTCAGCCGCCAGTCGGTCAATTCACGGTCGCGCAACTGCCAGCCGTCAAGCGCCGGCCGGTCCAACCGCCAGCCAGGGCAATCCTTGGTATCGCCAATCCCCAGCCCACCAAACCGCGGTCCGGTCACCCAATTTTTGGGGCACTCAAACAATCAGGTGACAAGAATCATGCTGATTTTTTCCAGATTTCAGTGAGCAGAATGGTATCCTACCACAGATTTTTTTTTCAAAATTTCAGGAATGTTAGGTTAAGGTTTTAGGTCATTTTATGTTATGTTAGTTTAGGTTAGGTTGGTTAAGATATGATGAGGTTTTTCTTTTTATGAAAATTTTTATAAGAAGAAATTTTGTAAAAAAAAAATAATAATCTGTGGTAGGATAGCATTCTGCTCACCGAATTCTGGAAAAATCAGTATAATTCTTGTCACCCAATTGTTTAGGTGCCCCAAAAATCAGGTGACAGGACCTCAGTTTGGTGGGCTGGGGATTGGCGATACCAAGGACTGCCCTGGCTGGCGGTTGGACCAGCCGGCGCTTGATGGCTGGCAGTTGCGCAACCGTGAATTGACCAACTGGCGGGTGACCCGGCACCCCAGTTGTAAGCCCAAAAATCTGTTCACTTAACGTTTGGAATTCTGCACAATCTTCCATTTAAAAATTTGTCAAAAATGTATTTCTCAACCAAACTTCAATTTTTGAAGGAAATAAGCTGTGCAATAAAGTTCCTCACACTTTCTTTTTCAAACTTTAAAAAATATTAAGAATTGATGGAGTTATCATGAAAAATGCAAAATGTTTCTGAAAGTTGAACCAAAATCAGGAAAAAAATCTTTTCACATTTTATTTTCAAATGATTCATTTTTAAACATTTTTCCCAAGTTGAATATTGCTAAATTTGTAAAACTTCAATGCGCTTCTAGCTCTGTTAACAATTTTGAAATGGAGCAGATTTTGAAGAAATTATTGTGAGTTGAAGTTGAATGTGTAAATTTTTTGTCCGGCTTATCAAAATTTACAAAATTTATAAAAACAGTTCAATGGCACCAAACATCAAACTTGAAACAGGGTTAGATGTGTATCAAAGTTTTTAACATTTTCTTTTTTTAAATCACAAAAAATATTCAGAATTGACAGAGATACAGTGGCCCCCTGCCTAACTGACTGCTTGCCCAAGGGATTCATGCCTAAAGGACCCCTCTGGAGGTCATTTTCTGCCCTGCCTAATGGACCAAATCCGCTTAACAGATTTCAGTTTTTTTCATAGTGTGTGGCAGTTGGACCTGCATCTCTCATGTCCCTCTTGCTTCCCTCACACTCCCTTGCTTCTCCACAAGCTGGGGTATCAGTTGCCCAACCTGAGCCATCTGGTGCACAAAACCTTTTTGAAGTTCATGACAACAGTGACTCTGTGTGATCAATGTGTTTTTTTATGTTTGTCACTTTTTTTAGAATGACTGAGTAGTGACTTATGGGCTTTCTTCTTTCCTGTTTTGAAAGTTTGTAAAGCTCAGGTTTGATTCTGTTCAAGAATAACTGTGTTTCCAAGTTTTTTCCTGATTTTCCTGTTGCATAAACTTCAGGCCTCTCTTCTGATAGAAACTTAACAAATCATTCTTTCTTGTAGAAACTTGATATGCCATTTTGTAGAAACTTCAGTCTTATCTTCTGGTAGAAACTGCTCAGCATATCTCTGTTTGGAGAAATTACACATGTCCCCTTGTGTAAGAACTTCACAAATCCCTTCTTGCAGAAACTTCACAAATACCTTCTTGTAGAAACTTAATATCCCTTCTTGCTGTAGAAACTTCTGGTCTCTCTTCTGGTAGAAACTTCTGGTCTCTATTCTGGTAGAAACTTCTGGTCTCTCTTCTGGTAGAAACTTCACTTATCTCTTCTTGTAGAAACTTCACATATCCCTTCCTTGTAGAAACTTAATATCCCTTCTTGCTGTAGAAACTCCTGGTCTCTCTTCTGGTAGAAACTTCACATATCTCTTCTTGTAGAAACTTCACACATCTCTTCTTGTAGAAACTTCTGGTCTCTCTTCTGGTAGAAACTTCACTTATCTCTTCTTGTAGAAACTTCACATATCCCTTCCTTGTAGAAACTTAATATCCCTTCTTGCTGTAGAAACTTCTGGTCTCTCTTCTGGTTGAAACTTGCATATCTCTTCTTGTAGAAACTTCTGGTCTCTCTTCTGGTAGAAACTTCTGGTCTCTATTCTGGTAGAAACTTCTGGTCTCTCTTCTGGTAGAAACTTCACTTATCTCTTCTTGTAGGAACTTCCCATATCCCTTCCTCATAGAAACTTAATATCCCTTCCTTGTAGAAACTTAGTATCCCTTCTTGCTGTAGAAACTTCTGGTCTCTCTTCTGGTAGAAACTTCACTTATCTCTTCTTGTAGAAACTTCACATATCCCTTCCTTGTAGAAACTTCACATATCCCTTCCTTGTAGAAACTTAAGGTGTGTCTCCTTGAAACTTCTCATATCACTTCTTGCAAGAAATTCAAATTTCCCATCTGGTAGAAACTCTGCATTTCCCATCTGAAAGAAATCTCTGGCCTCTCTCATTTTAGAAACCTTGCACTAAAACCACATTAAAGATTTTCAACATGTAAACCTATGGGGAAATTGAACTTGCCTAACAGAATTTTTTAAAATCTAAATGACACTAATAGTGCTGGGCCATCAGTTGCCCAAGCTTGGCCATCTGGTGCACAAAAGCTTTTCAACATTTAAGACAGACTGAAAATCAGTGTATTGTTTCAATTTTTTCACATTTTTGATGACAGAGTAATGAATTATGGGTGTTCTTCTTTCCTGTTTTGAAAGTGTACAAAACTTAGGTCTGATTCAGTTCAAAAATGACTGTGTTTCTAAGTTTTCCCTATTTTTCCTGCTACATTTTTGAACTAAAACCACATTAAAGATTTTTAACATGTAAACCTATGACAAAATTGAACTTGTCCAACAGACTTTTTGCCAAAAGGACTAATCCATTGCACCAATTAAGTCCCTTAGGCAAGGGGCCACTGTATTATCAAAAGCACAACACTTTTTTGAAAATCAAGCCACAATGTTTCATTTTTAAATTGCATGAGAAATTTTGTTATGGGCCTAATTTTAAAAATTTTGCACCTTGAATGCACCTGTAAATGTTCCTGTTTTTTTAATTAAACAATATTGAAAAGATATTGCCCAACATCAACTAAACATTTCTCCCTTATATCTTAAGGGAGAGACTACCTTGCTGAAAATTTTTTTCAACTAACGTGTTTTTCTGCTGCACCAACTAAAAACGTTGAGCAAGGGTTGACCATAAGGTGGTTTCCATTCAAAGTACCATTGTGTCTTCTAAGACAGCAATCTTAAAACAAAAGGCACAAAATTCAACAGGCAACTTGTAGAAGAGCCCTAAATGAATCAAATTAGAGTAATTTGCTCTAAATAATTTGACAGTTGTTGTTATCCAAAATTTTGGAAAGACCAATGCAGTTCAAACTGATAAAAAATGGAAATTTGGCTTTCCACTTAATAGCACTTCAGACATTTTTTCATCTACAAAATTCATAATGTCAAGTTTTCATAAATTTAAAATTATAAGAAAATTTGCCAGTCTGCCAAAGATTTCAATTAAATTTGCCCATGTGCAAGCCCAGAAAGGTTGGGGAGCATTGATCTATACTCTCTATAGAGGAGTGTTCCCCAACCTTTTTGGCCCTGTGGACCACCAAATTTCCAAAAAACCTTCTGAGTATCAGCAAATTTGCATAAAATTTTTTTTTGCTCAAAAAAGTGTTGCTTGCAAGACAGCTTGAATGGCAGGTACTGTATTTGAAAAGCTCTGCTTTTTTGCAAAAATTATTCATGAACCAATAAAGCAGGTATGGTGGAATGTCTTATTGGTAGTGGGCTTGATTAGAGTTCTTTCACACTCAAAAATTGAAATGATTTTAAAAATCAGGTAAAACTTTGTCTGAAGTATGATTAGGAGAAAAGCCAAAATATATTTTTCATGAGATAATCTTGTTGTCAGCTGGTCTGAATTGCTCTAACTTTCCCTTGCCCCTTGCCCTGCTCATTAATACAGGACGGCTGCGCATGCATGCGCAACCTTGTTTCCATCTTCACCTGCCGTAATTACAGTTCTCCTCAGGCTGTTGACTGCCCCATAAATCTCCAAAGGGATATGTTGTTGAGGAATACTTTGTGTCTCCTTTCTAAGTCTGGTGGAATGACCATCGCTGGTGCAATGACCCACTACTGTCTGGTTTTTGTAGAGTTAATAAAAGGACTTGTGCAGCCCAGAAGAGTCCAGTGGTAAAATACCCTCTGAGAGGAGCAGAGTCCATCGTAGGCTTGATATATTTTGCGTATATGTTTGAACTGGAATAAATACTTGTAAGTCAATCTTACTTGTAGTTTGTTTACTTGATTTTCTTGAGTACTTAAAGTACTTGGTTCAGGATGCACCTGGTAAAAGAGGTGTGAATCTAATTAATCTTCAAAAGTTGTCTACACTTCTAATCATTTATCCTCTTAAAGGTTACCAATAACAAATTTTATTTTGTATTGGCTGTAAAATTGGGAGTGTACAACAATCTTATCTGCCATTGTCTTCCCAAAATTAAAAATAAATATACTGTAACATCCTTCATTGCTACTTGTGAAAAAATTCATTAGCCTCAAGAAACTTTCCACAGATTGGAAAAAAAACTTCTGTGGACTGGTGCCAGTCTGCAGACTGCCTATCTTGACAGAAAGAATTTGATTCAAATTTAAAAAAAAAAAAACTGCAATCAGCCAGGCTATGGCTGGGGTGGCTTGACACCCTAGTGGCCTAGTGTAACTAAAGTTGGTATATTTGACCATAAAGGACAAGAGTTTTGAATGCAATCAAATACAAAATGAGAGTCTTTTGCTTGAGACGGCCAAAATATGACTGATGCCAAATCCAGAAGTTTAGGCAACACGAAGTTTCTCCCAGGGTCATTTTTCCTTGACTGAATGATTTGAGGAAGTCCCAAGGATATTGTAAAAACTTGTGGGAACTTGAGGTCAACCTTGGTCCCATGGGATTCCAGAAGGATTAGGTTTCATTCAGAAGCCATCTATCAATCTTCTGTTTCCTAATCTATCTATCTTCTTCCCAATTTGTATTGCTCATTTCCAACACCACAGGTTGGAAACGCTGCTCGACGATAGAAAATAAGTATAATGTGCACTCATTTTCACAATTAATGCCCAGGTCAATTGAAATTCGCATTTGTGAGGTGGACACGTGTGTTCTAAGGCTTATCAGAATAATTGACCAATATTTAAGTTCCAAAACTGAAGAATAACTTGACATCTGTTTCTCTGATCTTTCCTCATGCACAGTTTCTTTTTTTTTGAAAGTCAAGAATTATTAATTTTAAAAATTTTGAGGTTTCCCTTCACTTTCCTCAATTTACGTTTGTATCAACTGAAGTTTATATGTGCGGTTGGCGCATGCGTTTTATGGCTGATGGATCAGAGTAATAAAACGATGACGTTTCAGGAATCAGGACAACTTCGAATCGTAGTATCTGCTTTGTTCTCAATCGCAATTTCATTCTTCAAGAGAACGAATAATACTGAACGTGAAAATTGTGAGATGTATCTTCATCATCAGCTACATCAGGAACACGATTGTCAAGACTACCTTCTAATCATGATTATTTCAGCATGCCGTATTTAATTTTTGGTTTTACCTGGATTGCGCACTTGCTCTTGTTCTGACATCTTATAATATCGAAACGGTCCCAAACTGAAATCAGTAGTTTATTAGGCCATTTCGTCTTCAATACTATCAGCAGTTATCAACATTGTATGGACTCACCTGGAGTGAATAATATGAAACCGAGTTCGTCACGCAGGAATATACGAGGGCCAATAGCAGGAGCAAAAGGAATGTCGATGTTCTGGACATGCCTGAGCAGCCAGAACCCGATGGATTCACTTGAGTCATTCTGGAAAAAAATAGTAATTGAGTGTCGTAAATCCAATCCTAAGTGTTTCGTCAAAAACGCACGATGCGCATATCCACTCTGCCGAAGAGCAGAACATGGGAAACTAAGTAGCTCTAAACTTTAGAGCTACTTAGTTTTCCATGTTCAGCGCATCTTCCATACTTGACGCTTTAGTGTCGAAAGCGTCAAATATCGAAGATGCGCTGTGCAACAACTGGCAACATTTTTTGGCAAAATTTAAATAAAAAATCAAACTAATTTGGCCGTTGTTCTCAGTGTTCAATCGCAATAAGATTCCGTACTCAAAAGGAAATTTTCAGTGAACCTAAATTTCACACTTCTACTATTTCGTTATAGCCTCGCATACACACTGTGTATAGTGCAGAATATGCATTCAAGACAGCATATTGTGAGACTGTATGGAGAATAATATGCATTCGATTTGCCATGGAGCTTTCCTTCAGATACTAGCCTATCTACAATGAAATTTTAGAAAATTTCAGCAAAGCACACTTCTGTAAGCTAAATTGTCGTTGCGTTTCGCGGCTAGATATACAGTATGTAGGCTCCATGAATCGGCGAACAACAAGATAAAATTCAGATGTTTACCCATTCCAAACAATTTTTTCAAAGAAACGCACACGATAAATTTGATCTCTCATGTTCCCACCGGAAAACCTAATAAACTTCGAATGTCTTAACAGAATAATTCAGATCGAGACTGAATGATACAGTCAAATTCGAAGTGTTCACACGTTTTCTTTATTTTGTCCAAACAACAAAATTGCGAATTCCACCTTCAAACCAAGTAGCTTACGCTTGAATGCATCCATTAAGGAAGAAACCCCCGGATTTTCGCGGGATTTTGTAATTTGGTTATTTTTCTTAAGTTTTGGTACAGGCTATGCATGCATGCACTTCAAAAACACACGAAAACGAGCGTTTATGCCAAGTTCATCGTTTTTTTTTTTTTAGCCCGAACACTTGGGGACTTTCGCCTGGATCAAGGCCCAAACGCAATTTGTAAGATTTAACTCTCGCTCTAATTCTAAATATGTACTGTGTATGGAAAACGGAAAGCCGTTCTGCTATGAGGACACTACTACAAAATAGTTCGCCGCAAGTTTTCAGGAAGACCCCAAGGGCTAGACTGACTTTCTCGGCCTCAGAACAGTGCTCGTTCGCCGGCGCGCCAACAGCAATGGTCAGAAAGAAGCCTGCCGAAGGGGAAAAAGGGTAGGTTATAGTCCTAATTCTACTGCGTCGCCCGTTCGATATCTTTCCTATAAAACGCATAAGAATAGTGTCATGGCCGGACGGTCAAACGTAATCGTAAAATTCGAAATTCCCGACTACCACTTCTGCGGCGGCGTGTGGAACACCATGATGAACAGTACATCAAGATCGACCTGCCCTTTCTTCCCAGAAACTCAGAAGCAAGGATACCATCATAGGGTTGATGGTTTCTTCCAGAAGTGTAGCATTCGACATGACATGCAGCGAATATTAATCATATATAGAGTGGTCCACTCATTGCTAAATTCGCTTATACCGGTGTATTTTTTAGACTAGCTGGCGCACGCGCGTCTATCATAACCATGCATGGAATATGTTTAATCCACGGAAATGGGAAAGCATACAATAAAAAATCTTGTCCTTTGTGGTGGTGGGTAAAAATCTGAAAAGGGCAACGAATTTTTTTATTCAGTGAGAAAAAAATTTCTTCCAAGTGAGTTTCTTCCAGAAGTGTAGCATTCGACATGACATGCAGCGAATATTAATCATATATAGAGTGGTCCACTCATTGCTAAGAACTGCCTTAGTGATGTACTTGGTAAGTGTAAAAAATCGGTGCCAACGATAGCTGAAGAGAAGTACTGTACGTGAAGTGAAATTTCTTGAAATAAAAGATGACAATTGGGTCTTCCTGTGACAATCATTGTTTCTCTTTTGCCGTACATTTCTGTTGGATTGGTATTTGGTGAGTGTAAATTACACCAGTATATATTTAAATTTTGGAATGCCACTCTTGACATGAGTACCATATGCACCTTTTTCCTCAAAACAATACTGTTTGATGTTTCAACTGCATACAGTACTTTCATGTCAAGCTGAGTGTTGAATCCTCCAATTGGGTATTACTTGAATCAAGCACAGCATTGCAATCTACAATTGCACAAGCTTTCCAATTGAACGCTGAACTACATGAGGATTTTAAAAACAATGGTGGACAATTCATCTCAGCTGCTGGGAGCGTAACAGTGACAAATTGCATTGGATAACTTTTGGCTACCCTTTGGGATGGTGCTTCAGTGTATAAATGCCCCCTCCCATCTGGGAAAAACCCTTACCCACAAAGGAGGAGGGACTGTCAGAGGGGCAGAGAAGGCCTTCAAGCAGTTGATGGTGGAAAATTGAGTGTGATGAAACGCTACCTTTTGAACAAACAAAATGGTTGGCTAGCAGCTGATGAGTGATATTGTAGCTACATTAGCAGGCAAATAACTGAACATTGTGGTTATACATTGCTTATTCATTGTTGAGTACAAGGAGAAAGCTTGCTAGGCCTTATTGTGGGAAATATTTGCTTATTTGAACCCTCAGATGGCAGAGGGTTCTTTCTCAGTGCATGGCAGAGTTGGAATATTTCCTGGAGGGGCACACATTTCAGTTTGACCCAAGGTTACTGAAATGCGCCCAGTTTAAAGAGGCCTAAGTCACAAGAAATCCAGGAGGTAAATTTTATTTTGCTTCCAACATTTTCCCATAAAAATCCTATGTCAGGAATGCAGGAAAAAGGCCACCAAGTGAGGGATTTTTTCTTTTTATCAAAAATTTTCTGCAGGATTGAAGGAAAAACCTTTGACTTTTTCACAACTTAGCCCTTTGTAGAAAAGTATATTTTTTTCATTCCCAGTGAGCAGAGGCACAAAATTTTGCAAAAATATCCTGACTTTGCTGCACAAGGGTTCATGTCCTTCTATCGTAATTAGCAAACTTTTTACCTATCTTTAAAGTTTGAGGAACATTTTAGGCATTGATTCATTCATTAACAGTAAGAATTCCTTAGGAATTCTTCTTGCAAGAAGAAGTTTGGCTCTGTATTTGTTACAGCAAATTTATTGAACATTGTCAAAAAATTTTATTTACAAGCTGAATAGTTTTCAAGAGAAAACATTTCTATAATTATTCAAGGTAGAAAAAGCAGTGAATTTTAAATGATTGAAATGTATAGGTAACTTTTTATGTATAAAATAAATTCATGAACTCATTTTTCAATTACAATAGATTGGAAAGTGATGCATCAAGAAGTTAATTCCAATAAAGATTCAAGTCACCCTGTCTGGCTGAAACATTTAAATTAAATATTTGTAAATGTAAAAATTTTGGAGAGAACTGGAACATCTTTTGAATAAATATCAGGCAACATGTCAAATTTTTATCCAGAAGACCTCCTAGATCCTTCCAAAACTTGTCCATTTTGGATCCAAAAGTCATCCAGAAGCAGTTGTCTTTCGGATGACTTTTGGACAAGTTGTCCAATTTTTATCCAAAGTTATCCAAGCCAACTTGTCCAAATGTTGTCCATTTTTGGTAAGATTCTTGGATAAGTTGGTTTGGATAAGTTTAGGACAAAAAACGGACATTTTCTTGCTCACTGGGTAAAGGAAATTACTGAACCCAATTTAAAGCACCAGGTCCTTCAGCCTGTTTCCAGATAAAGTTAAGTCAAATAAATTATTTTGAGAGAATCTTTGATGAGAAATCAATTAAGTTTTATCTCATTCCTCCAAGATTTTAGCATTTTTATAATTCTTGGCTTGTGGAATGGCATTGAAACTGAGGCAGAAGATTTGTATCATTGTACATGATGCACAAACATTCAGTGCAATTTTTACGTCATCATTAATTTTTTCATTTTGATCCATTTCCTCACATAAATCATTTCACAGTCAATATTCAAGACATAGATACGTATTTATAACATTCATAAAATATAGAGTGTAGTCATATTAATGACCACAACACCCTTAACTTTACGCATGACCCTTTTAAGTTAATGTATTTCCGCTACGCTTGGCTGTGCCTGGTGCGCTAGCAATTATATTTCACAATCCTGTTGTTGATGGAATACTTTCCCAACCGTGCTCACGCTTCCTTCCTTTGAATAAACAAAGCATGATGTCCCTGATCCGAATAGGTTTCTATGTGCGTTCTTTGACCTCGGCTGGCCAAAGCTATATATACAGGTGCATTTTATGTTGCATTAAGTTTACCGCACCAGACTCTGTCCGAATGCCGAATCTACGCCGCTTTGCTCTCGGTAGAAAATATTGTATTGACTGTGTGAAGATAAATAAAGATTCCTTTGAAATACTCTCACAGAGTAACTTTTGCGTTTCCTTCAATAAAAGTTGCGGAAAACGAATTAAATCTCCAATCCCCTTTTCCTTTAATTATTGAGAAGTAGCTCTCAACGACTGATCATTGTTGATCACCAACTTCTATAAAATAGTTTTTGGATAACAAATTTGGCGCAGCCATAGTTTTCTTTTTGAGGGGGGGGGGGGACCCCTAGAGTTACTGCATTTAAAGTGCACAAAGTGTAATGATTCTTGCAGGTGACGTGATTGCTAGTGTGAAAAAGTTGAACGTCAGACGAGAAAAAGAGACTGAGGTGAAAAAGTATTTCCAGAGAAAATTAATTGTTAAATTACGGATCAATAATTCAAGTTTCTCACCAAGAAATTGTGTACAGAATTTGTTAAAAAAACTGTTTACCCAGTGGAGAGAAAAGTAAAACTTAAAATCACTAGTCGTCACTAGAAAAGGGATCCCCTGCACAAAAGTGAGAGTGTTGAAAGTGACTACATGAGCAAAGTGCATCAGACAACTGAACCTCTGCAAAACACCATGTCATTGCCTACTCCAAAAGTAGATGAACTCCCCAGTGTCCACAGGGCCAGAATAGCAAACAAATCTCCCAAAGCTGTGGTTGGATATTTGACTGAATTAGTGAGACT